CGGAATCCACCTAGTGTCACCCCTTTTACAATGTCTAGTACCCAGGATACAGCCGTTGGTTCACAGGTGTCAGATGTTAGCAGCATGCAGGAGGAGCAAGAAATGTGATGGATGGACCAGTTAAGAGGGACAGTGGAGATTAATTGAGTTGAGTGATCTAGGAAATACTCACAGAAGCACAAAAGGACAAAAACACCAGCCTGCTGATACTAGAAAGCTCTCTACCTCTTCCCCTTTCCTCAGCTCTGCCCACTCCCCATTTGCCTCAGTGAACTTCCTGTGTTTGGAGGCGTGACAGAGCTCGAGTCAGGCACAGACTGGGAGTGCTCCACAGATGGCCTCAAGGTGACATTATCATGAGGGAGACGTGGGAGACATTGTGCGAGCTCGGTGCCTTCCTGCAGCAGGTGAGCATGGGCGGAATCTGCTGTGTGGACCAGGTTTTGGCTCAGTGCTGGAACCACTCCAAAGCGAGGCAGCAGCATCCAGAAAGGGTCAGAGAAGTGGAAGCCAGGATTCGCCAGCTGGACTGACCCCCGTCTCTTATGAAGCGCTCAGCCTCTTTGGCAAAACTGGGCTGTCTGGAGTTGCTCGCAAATGACCTGAGTGATGGGAGCTCAGCCGCACCTCGGTAGCTCCATCTACAGCAGAACCTTCAACCCACTCCGTTAGCGACGAGTCTAAGAAACAGCGGTCCACAACTCCCCCCTTAGCCCAACAGCAACCAGAAAGCCTTTTATTGATGCAGAGAGCCTTGATAAGGATCATGAAACCTCTCCACCTGCACAACCTCCAGCATCATATCACAGGGACTACCTAACTCTGACCAAGACTCTCTGCATTTACCTGGGCTGATGCTAATGACAGCAAGCAGCAATATGGAAGGACTCATCCCCTGAGCGGCTTAAAAAAAGAACTGCTAGTAGTACCCTTTACCACACATGTAACCCTCACCATGTGTGTTTGTGTTTTGTGTGTGTTGTGTGTGAGAGGAGAGAACGAGAGAACGAGCACAATCAAGTGCATATGTTTGATTTTATTCAGCGAAAACAAACCAGTGGCCTCTTGCCTTAAAGGATGTGTTAAGTTGTTTCTTATCTGTATGCTTTTCCCATAAATCTGCGATATGAGGCTCAGTGAATGAACAGTGAAAAGGCTATGATGGTTGTGTTCATTAAATAGGGAAATTGGAAGACATGATGGGTTATCAACATTTTTCAGAAAGGAGCAAAAACAATCATTCCAATGACCATCGTGTTTCCGAGCCTAACAGCCTGAGCCTGCACATATTCAATCATGGCTGGTTTCACAGTTATCAACTTGATATAAATGTACTTGATCTCTGTTGGTTGGCTGAATAATCCAACCTGATCTTAGGTGGAATGTAGCCTCTGTTACCACTTCTTTTTCTTGTCTCATCATCAAAATGTGCTTGTTGTACTGGGTTGCAAACAAAAAAAAAAAAAGATGCAGTTTTTCTTCTGGTACAATCTGTGTGTAAATTAACTGGCTCAAAACAAACAAACCTTCACAATCGGTTTCAAAATGTACATGTAAAGATGAAGTTGGAATGATTTATCAGAGACTTTGTCTTGAGACCTTTTTTGCTAGCAGCAGTGCATCCAAACCATAGACTGTATACACAAAGGGACAGCATGCCTCAGCCTCCTTCCATTGAACAGATGAAGCCAGAATATCAACATTGCGCTGCTTCCACTAAAATTAAACGAAAATTGGCAGATGAAATGGCAAGAAATCCCTCAGTGGGTACAGTCCACAGTGGAACAGATTTTGTGCCGATTTGAAGCAGACACTCATTTATGTAAATTAAATGACTCTTGTGTTTGTTCATTTACCTTTACTTTAGCTTTCTGCTGTACTCTGTTAGTGCCACAGTGCTGCAGGACAGCATTCATCAACAGAGTTGTCAATCATGGCAGTTAATGCTGGTTCTAGCATCAAAATAATTCAAAAAAACATCTGTGAAACAGGATGACTTGAACACAAAACAGCATGATAATGATAAATATCATGACTAAACCAGAGTGAAGAAAAATGTATCTGACGGCATTTAGAGTTTATAGTTTGACACATTTCCTATCTGTTTGTCTCCGTTAATAGAGGCCGGTTTGTGACCTATTCAGCAGGAGTTTTACATCTTTTGAGCCTTCACCCTGGACAGCTGTTTCTCCGTCCATCTTAATATGCAGTCTATAATCCAAGCACAAAAGAGATCAGCTAAAACCACAGCCACATCAGATGAGTTGCTTTCTCAGAAATGTATGTAGAGATGGCAACAGGAATATCAACTGAAACGTTTGCATAGCTGTAAAGAACTTTGTTGAAACAAGTGTGTGAGAAAAAGGCCTGCTGTTTGTTGTAATGTTTTTTTTGACTACACAATACCTCAGTAAGTCTCAACCAAACCTGACCTGCACAAAAGTCAATCTCTGGATTCCTGGAAAGTCAGTCAGAAACAATTACAGTGTCATTGTCAACAAGTGATGTTTCTCATCATCTCTCTTCTTCAACCTCTCAGCTCGTATGCCACTCAAACTGGACATCTTCTGTATGTATTTCTGTGTGGGGTTAGGCCGTTCGGAGCTAAGGCAGAGTGTATATTTGATTTTCTGCTATTTCTTTAGGATGTAATGGTCTGTATCGTGAGTTTTGAAAATGTAGGAGCTGAACATGTTTTTATATCTTGTTTGTGTCTGTGTGTGAGTGAGTAGCACAACTTTGCAATGTGGGTGTACACTTTAGTTTTTGTTTTTATCTCTCTTTTTTTGTACACATTTTTAAGGAGTGTGCCTGTGGTTGGAAGTGGAGCTTCTCTGCAGTCTATCAGAAATGTCTGTTCAGGCAGTCTGTCATACATGCACTTTACTCCCTTTTTCATTTGGATGTGGCTTTTTTCTATGTATGGTTGCTACTTTGGGGGAGCATGAGTAGATTGTAGCAACTGTTGGGTATGTGTGTATGTTGTCAAAGCCTAACTTCTATTTCGTTTGATTTTAAAACTTCAGTGTACATAGTCTTTTTTTTTATCTATCATGTGCTTCAACTGTGACCATTAAACAGTGGCAATTATTGAGATTAAGTGTTTTTGCAGTTATTTACAGTCATAATACTTTAAAGAACATGACGACAGTACCTGTTTACATTTTTGACATAACTGACCGTATTCAAAATGACTTAGAAGTCATACTAAGTACAATTTTCTTGCAAATACATTTCAAAATCCACCAATGTTCAGCTGACTTTATATAAAATAGATGTTTTTAATTGTGTTGTTCAGTAACCAGTTTGATATATTTATTACATATGAATAATACACTCATAACTACAGCTGTTCTTTCTATATTTAGCAGTGTCAGGTGAACGCACTCACCACAAGGTTAACACTCTCCTTTGTCCTGGTTAATTTAGCTCTAACAGGTTATCTCCATTATATACTTCCTGTGAGGTAACTATTGACACTATTGATGAAAAACAATGAAAGCTCTTGCTTCAAATATAAAGGCACATCCCAAATGGTCAGACCAACTGTAAAATCGATGCAACAAACTTCTGGCTTACCAACTTTTTTTTTTCAGTTTGAGATTGCATGTGTTGCAGGAGTGAAGTATCTGAAGGTAGCATCAGGTCACCTGTGTGCGTTTACTGATCTTCTAAACATCCCACTTCCCCTTAATCACATTTCTTCTGTTAGAGGCCACCAGCTGTGATAGTGACCCCACGGAGACGCGCTACCCCCTGTACCAGGCGCGCGTCACGTTTCCTGCACTGACAGAGCCCGTTCTAAAATAGCCGGCACCACCTTCACCCACCCACACACACCCACACCCTCCCCTCTCCCAGCTCGGCTCAGGTCCTCTCTCTTTCCCTGCCGAGGAGCGTCACGCAGTTGTCCGGTGCGTCTCCCACTCTTGGAAAACGGGTCGGAGGATTACCACCTAAAGGAATAAAAACAGCAGAAGGAGGAGGAGAACTACGTAAAGGCTATACAACAGATACAGTGAGAGTTCTTCCGGGAAGAGGTCTCTTCCCGAAACCTTAGGTGAGCTGGACTTTTTCTCCTAATACGTGTGTGTGTGTGTTTGTGTGTGGGGGTGCTGCAGTGGGTTGAGAGGTGCGTCAACGTCTTCTCTGCACTCAGTGCGCGTCCTCTTGGAAATCTTCATACAGAGTCGGTGTACTGGGATTGAGCACTTTCCCCTCCTGTGCGGACTGGCCAGATCTTGAGCTGTGCTTAACAGCTGCGGGTTTCTTAAAGATGAAACCTAACTAACCTCTCCCCACCACCTCCTTACCCCCCCTGACAGCCTCCTATGTAAATGTGTAAAGGCTGTGCGTAATGGCTCTTTAAATTTACGGTCCGTTCATTAACGATAAAGCGCCATGGAGCGTGTCGACTTCTTTCTGGGACTATTTATGATCAGGGAGGGAGGAGCGCTGGCCCGGGTGGGACAGAGCAGTTTGTCATGTCTATATTAGGAAAGTGGCAGTGTCATTCTTTCGCTCTGTCTCTACTCTCTTGAGTGTGCGCCACCGTGGAGGGCTGTCTCTATACCCTGAGGCACATTTGAAGGAGTACCTCAAGGCTTTGATGTGTTAGTTCATATACAAAAAGAGAAAAATGTATGTGCGCACATCCAACAAAATACATAGAGGTGCACAGCAAGAAATGCTGCACACTGTTCAGCTCCCAATAGCAACCTTTCTCTAAGTTCATACATCAAACAATTTGAAGCTACTATAAGGAAATTTAAGTTGGATATCAAACCGACTAAAATGAATACAAATGACTCTTTATGACCTACAACAGTAAAATAGAATAGAATAATAGAATAGAATTACTTTATTGATCCCAAACGGGGAAATTGTGGCGTTACAGCAGCAGGTTATCAACACACAATATGAGTAAAAAACACAATGTTAGCAAATCTAAACATAATATAATATTCAATTTAAATAAAAAAAAAGAGACCATCGGCCACAAGATTGATGATTTGAGGTAACATAGTACTTTTTAAAACTGAAAATGCTGCAGATGGGTGGGTGTCATATGAACTGTTGATCTATGTGCTGCAGAAACAGCATTTTTTTTTTACCTTACAGCAAAGATTATTAATGGGTTAAAACTTTCTAACAAGTTGTATGGCAAAACAGCCTCAGGTAACAGCTCATGTGAAAGGTATGAAAGCAACGTGGGGCCAGTAAAAGTTTGCTATGGATCATAATCACATCCATTCAGTTATATTTTTGAGATTTGTCAGGGCCCCGGAAACACAGGCATCTGTGAAGGCATTTGTTTACGTTCTAATGGGATATTAAGATGGAAAAAAATAAAAGTGTTTTTTGTCAAATATCTCAAAAACATCACAAAAAACTTAAGAAAAGGGTTTGAGTCGGCATAACCATTTGAAGCTAAGGGTCAGTCTGTCTCAATGAAGAATTAAAACAATCTCATTGATACGTTTGTGACTCGGTCACCGTAATCAAACAAACACAGATATGGAAGATATTGTGTTCACCCTGAAATGCCCCACGGCTGGCCAGCTTCAGTGGGCTCTGGAATTTAAATCTGTTGATAACAGAGAGCTTCCAGGAAGAAAGAGAGCGCTCCTGCCCTCTCATCAGTCTGTCGGAGCTATGAATCCTCATTAGACTCAGTGTGAGTCTATATCTAGAATGCTCTAGTGTCAACTTTGTCACAAGCCTGATATGCTTGACCCGAGCCTAAATTGTTGTTGTGGTTTTATTTTTATGGGCAGGATCAGTTTTTATGATCGGTTAAACAAGAGGAAGAACTCTGCCACATTTATCAGAAGTCTTTAGGGACTGAAGCAGGCCTACTTCTACATTTAGGCTTTTAGTTTTGGCGTTATGTAAGTCATTGCAGTCTTATGTAAGTCATTGCAGTCTAAGACTGCATGTTAGATAAGATTTAAACTTCATATTCTCACAGGGATTGTATCATATATATGCAGTTGCCTCACTATAGCATTGTGTCCGTCATATATTAAGTTCTCCCCCGGCCTTTTATCTGTCCTGTGTGTCTTAGTGTTTGTCTTTGATGTTCGGCTGTCACATAGTGATTGCTAGGACAAGCAACTATTAATACTAAGACTGATGGTATGGCAGGCACTGTTATAAAATATCTCCTGTGTTTTGGTGGATTACCACTGGCTGGGTGCTGGGACAGCCACAGGAAAGAGCCTAAAAATACATGATAATGTTCATTAATCAGAGAATAGCAGGCAAAACTTGGCTTGAATTCCAAACATTTCAAGATGGCCATTCATAATTTCATAGCAGAGGTGTACAGATGTGTCCTAAAATGACCTGTCTCTGTAGAAAGAAGAAAATGAAAAAGTTTCATCAAAAACATTAAACGTGTAAAAGTTGTACTTTCGAATGAATGTTAATTTAATAAGCGTTAACCGTCAAATTGATTCAATAGTTTGCATTAAATTATAAATGAAATATGTTAACGTATCCTCATACAGTATTTTTTTTTTGCTCCCCTTTTATGAACAACAACCAGCAACCTAAGATAGAAGAAATTTATGTTTCCATGATGTCACTTCTGCCTTCTTAAATAGTGTTTTCTGATTTGGTTTCATAATAGATAGACTACATAAATAGCCAGCTAATGAATTAGCCTTGGGTTTAGACTGTTTTATTGTATACATTGATAAAATAGGATTTGCCAACCTGTCACTAATCTCAAGCTCACAGCCTCTCATCCAAACTTGGCAGCCTCGAGCCAATATGGTTACAGCTAAAATGTCAAAGTCAAGACTTAAAAAGGCATTTCACAAACCAATTTGTAAGGTCACAGAGACTGTATACAATGTCCAATACAAATATGCTATATTCTTTTATTATTAAGAGTATGACACTTCACCCCATGTATGGAGGCTGTAGACCTCCAAGCAGGCAGCCCAGGTTCAAATCCAACCTGTGGCTCCTTTCCTGCATGTCATTCCCACTCTCTTTCTCCCTGGTTTCCGACTCTATCTACTGTCCTATCTCTCCAATAAAGGCACAAAACACCCAAAAATAAATCTTAAACCTTCAGCTAATATCTAATATGTACCATTTTGTCTGTTTGATGAGATATGACAGTAAACATAACCATCTTAAAGCAGTTGTCATAAAATCCTGATTTGTGTTAAGAACAATAAATAATACTTTCATGATGTTCTCAATTCTGGCTACCAGAATCCAGTGATGAGGCAAATGTAACTCACAATATGTTCATCTTTTACACAAAATAGTGTGTTGTTGCATCATTCATAGCTGGTTGAGAAAACATTTTTAGTTTTCTTTTTGTTGCTTGATGCTTGATGAAATTGCAGTGAGCAGAAGGCCAGTATCATTAAGCTGTTTGTGTTAGCAATAGCAGTAAGATGAAATGTTGTTCTTGCTCAGACGACACACAATCTTCTTTCTTGTTAATGTGACTTTCAAACTGAATAAAAGAAATACCAAAGGTGAACAAACTTTTCCTGGCAACTTGAACATAAAAAGTTTGAAAGCACCGTCATTAGTCATCACTGAGTCACTTTGACCTTGAAAACAAATGGTAGCAGTAGCTGCTCAATGAAACACATGAAGTTACAGTTCAGCAAAAAAGCCATTTATATAAACTACCAAGCAAGCGGTCCACACTGCAGAAGTTTTATTTAAGCTTTATTTTCTTTGTTTTTTACATGATACTGAAACTTTCTCATCTTTTATTTGACTTCCTCCTTTCCTTTTTCCTCTCCTCAGCTATGAGTCGGAGCATCGTGCGGCAGAGCAAGTTTCGCCACGTTTTTGGCCAGACGGTCAAGGCTGAGCAGGGTTACGATGACATTCGTGTTTCCAAGGTTACGTGGGACAGCTCCTTCTGTGCCGTCAACCCCAAGTTCCTGGCAGTCATCATTGAATCCAGCGGAGGAGGAGCATTCCTGGTACTGCCCATCACTAAGGTCAGTGAGGAAACTTTTCTAGGCTTTATTCTAGATCCTTGCTTGGGGTATGTTTCTGGTTTTTCAGGTATAACATGTACCCCATTGTTACAATAACGATGTTAGAATTATATATAGCAGATGTAACTCTGACAGGAGAAAACAAAGTCAGTAAGTGCCAACAAACGGCTTCAAGTCCGAACAGAAACAGGTGCACAGGGTGTATAGAATACATTTTTTAAATGAATCATTGTCAACGTCCTCAATTTTATCATCATCAACATCATCAGTAGCATCAATATAGTCTCTCACTGATTTTATAAACTACTTTTTCATCAATAACTTTTCTGCACTCTTGTTAAGCACTTTGAACTGCAATTTAATTTGTCTGAACGGTGCTATATAGATAAAGTCTGATTGATTGATTGATTAAATATCAATAAGTGTTTACCAGGTGCCTTTGGTTGGTTGAGCATAGCAGGCAGAAGTGGGTGAAACCTGGATGAGGGAGTTCAGGTATGTAGGAGCTGTTGTTGTTGCTGTTTCCTAAGCGAGCGTTAAGGTTTTTAATTCTGCAAAAAGTTCGAGTTAGTTTTGTAAGACACTGGTGCTGGTTTTAGTTCAGTGTGAAGAGCAGGCGATGTAAATACAGACACTTGAGTCATCAATGTATCGGCCACAGGTTCAGATCCTGGTCTAGGCCCATTGATCCATGTCTACTTCTCTCTCCATACTTGATGCCTTTCTTCAGCTGTCATATCGTTCAGATATGCATGGTACCTCATGAATCCTATTGGCATAAGTCTTTCTTGCAAAGTGGGTTGACATTTGTTGTTTGGAAAATAATTTCTCCAAAAATACTTGGTACACAAATTTTCTTTTGTTTTATTTAAATCAAAATGATCTAGTGTCCATAGTTTGGTCAATGATAAAATATTTGAATATGTGGTGAAATTCAAATGTCTTTATAGTGTTTGCAAGCATGTAGCATGCTAACAAATATTAGCATGAGTTTTAATTGATTTTTATCTTGGGTATAGCAGAAGATATAAAACATATCTCTTACTGTCATAGAGGGGAGTCAAGCAGGACGTGCGCATGTGTGTAGGGGTGTGTGTGTTTGCCCATTCAAGGGTTAAAACTGGCTGCTAACACCATTTGTCAATCACAGTCCAATATTCTGGGAACTGAGATGAAAATTTACTTCATTCAAAAAATATTGCACTTGAAGAAATGTAATAAACTATTATAATCTGAAACTTGTAAAGTTTTTATTTTTTTTACACGGTTTTTACATGTAATTATAGTATTACTTATTCCTCAGAGCACATGGCATATAGCAGCTAATATATTTTATTTATTTATTTCAGGAGGGTAACAAGGTCATCACTGCTGCTGCATGCCCAGTCGCTGTAAATAGTGACAAAGGACAAGAGCACAGTTTTTTGGAGACCCAGTTAAATGTGCTGTGGTTCTGCACTGGAGTCACAGAGTGATTCTATTAATACACACCAATGTGCTCTCCATCCTCCATCTCCCCCCTCAGGGTCCCCAAAGTGCCACAAGAAAAACTCCCCTTTCAACGCCTCGTCACCCAGCTATAAATACACTCTCCTGGGGAGTGTGTTTGTGTGCACTAAAACTGATACATGTGTTCACACGATAGAAACAGGGATACATTAAATAACCTGTATGTGACATCATAACAGTAGTCTGCTTTATATTGAAATGTCTGATTTTCTGTTTGGTAACAGTACACACTGTTGCTACAAGGTTATTTTAAAGGTATGGTTTGAAATGCAGGTTAGAGGCAGAGATCCATTCAAATAAAGCAGAGGGTGTTGTTAGTCGATTACCATAGTTTCCTATTAGAACCAAACTTAGAACCAGATAGATAGATAGATACTTTATTGATCCCGAGGGAAATTCAAAGCATCCAGTAGTAGGTGACAAAGACGTACATGACATGAAACATTTGTTACAAATTAACCACTAATATTAAAACTATTTTTATATATTAATATTAACTACTATTAATT